TCTTCCTGCTTTGGCCTCTCAGAATGCTGGGATTACAGGAGTGAGCCATTGCCCAGCCCCTTTTCTTGTTTTTTAAATGCTAATCAGTTGACTTCTAAACCCTGCGTGGACTGAATACCTGACAGCCACTGTCCAGTGGCCTCGAAGGTGGAGTGGATCAGGCCCATCTAGCCTGCAGCATGTCCATATTCTCTTTGCTTGCAGTGAAGGTTCCGACAAGCAGATGTGACGCTGGACAAGTGTCTAGTCTTGCTATATAAAATGGTTATGCTGATAACCATTTTACTGGGAAAGTCAAAAATTAAATTACTTGTATTGACAAGTCCTTGAGAAGTTGTCACTAATTAATTAGTGCAGTAACCCTCTTCCCTGAAAAAATATGCCAAATAAAGATTTTTTATTTCATTTTATTTTTTGGGACAGGGTTTCACTCTGTTGCCCAGGCTAGAGCACAGTGGCACGATCATGGCTCACTGCAGCCTCAACTTCCCAGGCTCAGGTGATCCTTCCATCTCAGCTTCTGGAGTAGCTGGTACCACAGTTACACTGCACCATGCTCAGCTAATTTTTAAAATTTGTTTTTTGTAGTGAGGGGCTTTCAGTATGTTGCCCAGGCTAGTCTCAAACTTCTGGCCTCAAATGATCCTCCCATCTTGACGTCCCAGAGTACTGGGATTCCATGCTTGGTTCAAAATACAGCTTTTTTTTTTTTTTTGTTCAGTGGAGCCTGACCAGTCAGCCAAAATTCTGTCATTCTTCGGCTAAGAAATAGATGTGTAAAAACATCTAATACACTACAAACATATTTTTTTGTCTGAGTTGCAGTCTCACTCTGTTGCCGGGCTGGAGTGCAGTGGCCTGATCTTAGCTCATTGCAACCACCACCTCCTGGGTTCAAGCGATTCTTGTGCCTCAGCCTCCTGAGTAGCTGGGACTGCAGTCATGCGTTATCATGCCCAGCTGATTTTTGTATTTTTAGTAGAGACAGGGTTTCACAATGTTGGCCACGATGGTCTTGATCTCTTGACCTCATGATCCGCCTGTCTCAGCCTCCCAAAATGCTGGAGTTACACGTGTGAGCCACTGTGGCTGGCCTAAAATAAAGCATTTAAAAAAAAATCTTTGAACTAAAAGCTCCATGGTAATTTGGTAAAATTATATTGTCACATGTTCTTGTATGTTGACTGGTTTTGGTTGTGATTATTTTCTTGGTTGATGACTTCATTCCTTAAAGGTACTGATGATTCATGGTCTATTCTAATTCTTCAGAGAGAAAATAGAAGATTTATTACAAAGTGAAGAAAACAAGAACTTGGATTTAGAGCCATGTACCGGGTTAGTTGTCCTGAACATTTTTTTGCATGTTCTTTTTTCAGAAAGGTAGATGATTTGTGGCATTTGATGCATCTAGTCTTTTAAAAACACCTTTATAAATAGTATTTTTATTATTGGTATATTCTCAAGAATTAAACACTAACTTTAGCATTACACAGTGAGAAAGATTGTGTATACAGAGGTACTGAATGAATGCTTTGTCATGTACCCGGAGTGGAGAAAGCTGTTGTGCAACCTTGACTTGAAGTTATGCCCAAAAGTGGCATAATTACTTTGGCTTTGAGGAGCACTTAACACATGAAGGCCTCAGAAGAAAGAATTCACTTTCAGGCTACTGCTGCCTTTTTAATTTCTCTCCGTGTTCAGAAAACATTAGCATTTCAAAGAGTCAGTAATGTGAATGTCTTTTTTCCATTTACTTTGTGAGGAGCTTCACAAAAGTGTTGTAATGCATCTGTCTACTTTAAACTCTTTATGCAGCTGTAGGAAGCAATATTTTGATTAGGCAAGAACTTCTACCTCTTATATAAAAGCAGTATAATAACATTAAAGAAAATCTTAGAAGACAAGTGATCAGGAATTCTCCCCACCTCAAATAACCTACCTATTTTTGTTTGCAAATTACCTGTCAGTTCTAATGAAGTCTCTTTTTAAAGTGAAATCCTTCTCAACAAATGCTTGATGAGTTCACATCTACTTCCAATGAGCCAAAATCAATACCTTTTCTTTTGTTTTTGTAGGTTCCAAAGAAAACTAATTTATCAGACTTTGAGCTGGAAGTAAGTATTTATATTGTATGCAGGAGCTCTGTGGGGGACCTAGGATTTAAAGTCTAAATGTAATCTCTTAGCTCTCATTTTCTTTTTGAAATTCTGCAGTTCTCGGTGATTTGACCACACCAAGTTCCCCCTACTTTCTTAAGTTGAATAACCACTTAATTTTTTTTTTGTTACTGTTTTTTAATAGATGCTTTAAAGCCTCTTAAAACAATTGTCACTTTGGGCCGGGGACAATGGCTCATGGCTGTAATTCCAGTACTTTGGGAGGCTGAGGTGGGAGGATCATGAGGTCAGGAGTTCAAGACCAGCCTGGCGAAATCCTTTCTCTGCTAAAATACAAAATTTAGCTGGGCGTGGGGACACATGCCTGTAATCTCAGCTACTCAGGAGGCTGAGGCAGGAGAATTGCTTGAACTCAGGAGGCGGAGGTTGCAGTGAGCTATGATCGTGCGGTTGCACTCCAGCCTGGGTGACAAAAGCAAGACTGTCTCAAAAACAAACACACAAGAAATTATCACTTTGGTGCATGCATTAAGCTGTGGATTGGTAGTGTATTTCCTTTGGGGGTATATGATAAATAGTTGGTTTTCAGACCTAGGAAATACTCAGATGAATGCTTTTGGTAAAGTGAGAGTTCTTAACTTAGGATGAGACTATGAATGGGTTTCAAGAGGTCTGTGAATCCCCTGAAATAATATCCAGACTTTTGTGTGTGTGTTTTTCCAAGGATGTTTTCCTTGTGTTTGCAGATGGGTCTTCAACTCAGATATTGAACATTGACATAGACGGGTGGACATTTCCATTTGACTTTGGGGACCTTTTTCTTCTATTGGAATCTACCAGTGACATGACAGCAATCTACTAGTAACATGACATACAATTCCAATTGTATACTGGGAATTTACTTTGAACACAATAGGAAAGGGCTGTTTAGTTGCCCACACTCCATTCCTGTCACGACGTCCTTGCAGCCCACTCCACCTGCATTCCAGATCCCTCTCCTCCTTGGCTGCTGCAAACTGTTTTTTTTCTTATTATTGTTTTATTTTTTTTTTCTGGGTCATGTTCTCTGATGAATTTGCATGTTTTTTAATTTTTTAACATAATTTCACCTTCCGTTTAGATGCGAACTGTTTATACCATGCAAAACTACAGCAGAGTTGGCCATCTAAAACCTTCTCTTTATATGGTCCCTGCAATCTAAAAAGACCTTTAGGCCGCATGCAGTGGCTCACTTTTGTAAGCCCGGCACTTTGGGAGGAGGCAGGCATATCACCTGAAGTCAGGAGTTTGAGATCAGCCTGGCCAACACGGTGAAACCCCATCTCTATTAAAAATACAAAAATTGGCCGGGCGCGGTGGCTCACGCCTTAATCCCAGCACTTTGGGAGGCCGAGGCGGGTGGATCACGAGGTCAAGAGATCGAGACCATCCTGGTCAACATGGTGAAACCCCGTCTCTACTAAAAATACAAAAAATTAGCTGGGCATGGTGGCGTGTGCCTGTAATCCCAGCGA